TCTTTCCCGCCTGTGGGACAAGGGACATCTGTAATCATCAACTTATAGTGGATTTTTACAATTGGACCAGGCCTCGTGGTTTTTTTCCTTTACGGGTTTTTCACGTAAAAACTTCTGGTGTCATCACAACTTGATTCATTTTCATCTCATCTGAGTGAGTGTGTGCTGAATCCTCGCGCAACGCTAAGACGATAATCCATTACTCTACCGCCACGAATTTTCTAACATGCATCAGTATTCAAACTCAAATTTGGTAGTTTTTTATTTATTGAATTATTAATATTTTTTATATAAATGATATTTTTTTAATTAAGCTCTAGTGGTGTATTACAAGTTAAGACCATTTTCATCTGGCCCTAAACAAACTGAGAAATTTTTTAGCTTGAAGCTTCCCATTTTCTTTCTATTTAGTAAATAGGAGTTTTAATGGAGACATATAAATTAATTAAATTATTGGAGAACTTAATGTATACCCGCATGAATATAATATAATCTTGCTTTATGTGATTGATTTTTTACCATACAAAAAAAAAAAAAAAAAAAAAACACAATCATTTAAGATGACATATTTTCATTAATTCATTTACTAAAATCAATTGTAAATAAGTGAGGGGTAGTTTGGACATTCATACAAATACACAAATATTAATATATGTGCTTTGAATACAGAGAGAAAAATCTGCGTACGTCTTACGTAAGACGTACGCAACTCTGCGTATGTTAGGGAGGTTATTCAGAGGGTATTGTGGATTATATTTATGTTATACCCCATGTAACCTCCCTGTAACCTAACTGTATCATCTAGTAAGTTCCGTGCTTTTATTTTCATATATTTGTAGGCTAAAGGTAGGTTATAATAAAGTTACATGGGGTATAACGCGTATATAACCTCTCAATAACCTATTTGACGTACGCAAAATTTTCTCGAATACAGAAACTGTAAAACCTTAGGAGCCTTTCTATCATTGTAGCGAAGCTTGAAGTAGCAAGACCAGAGGAGGTAAATCGACAGTCACGTAAGCTTTGTATATTCGTTCCTGTTGTTATTTCCTTAACAAACCCATATTTTCTAGTAAGTTATATACAATATTCTATTTCTCTGAAAAATTAAATTATCACAAAATTTAAAAAAAAAAAAGACATACAACAAAATAATTTAATTTTCTTTCTCGTTAAATAATATATTGAATAAATCATGCTCATAATATATAAACGTTTGAATACCACTATCCTGATCTTAAATTGATTAACATAATTATCTAACATTTATTTTTCTTCAATATAAATGTAATATAATTAAATTTATATTGATTTTCTCCATAAGATAATGGCCATCCCTTTCTATAATTATGTTGCAAAATGAGTTATTCTGTCATTACCTTATCTTCAATCTACAAGTGATGTGTGAGCAGTTATCAACAAAATGATAGTTGCAATAAAATAGTCCACTTGTGATCTCTTACCAGTCCATCATGTAAATAAGTAAAATGTAGGTGTCATTTCCAACTATTCACATTGGCCAACTACTTCGGCCATATCGCCATACGCGTCAGGCAACGTGATCGTTGGTGATTGGCTCTGAACCAAGTACTTTTCGTTCATTAGACCAATTTGTAAAACACCACCGCGCCTGTTTCTAGTCAACAATAACCATATTATTTAAAAAAAAAACTGAAAAAAAAACATATTACATATTCTAAGTAAATATAAACAAATATGGGTGCTATCTTGCATTTTTGAGGGATTCATTGAGTTGTTTCGATTTTTTTATGATAATTATCTAACTAATACAGTAATTAAAAATAAAAAAGTAATACGAACATACAGCTAGACAGTAAGCACGCATAACATGTACCTAAGTTTTCAAAAGGCAGAAGCAGCCATATCATATCTTGAGTGCCGCCAGATGAAGATTTTCTCAATCTTATTTTAATAGTCCTCAGCCTAAGCCCACAAATAATCTTCAGATATTATTAATCAACATATTAGAGCTTACATAGTTTAAAAAGAGGGGTGCATTTACATGCATATCACACAACTCTTATGTATTTACATATCTAACAACTAAATTTTCATATTTCATCAAAATTTTAACGTCACATACAAAATATTATAATTATTGTTTTGATCTATATATGTATAGATTTGCGACATATTATAAGTGTAAATATCAGATTTTTGGCAGATGTTAATACAGAATGGATATGTATGTAAATATTCAAAACAAAATAAAATAAAAGTGTTAGGTGGGTTTTGGCAGATGATGAGTTTATGAATGATGGAGGGTCACTTTAGTATGGCTTTACGTGCCTTTCATCACATGCAAAGGGCAGTGGCAGAAATATAATGGAGCGTTTGGATTTACGTGCCCTTACTCAGCTCTCTCCATCTCCACTCTTCTCCTATTTCTCGGATCCCTTCCTACATCTATACACCTCACTTCTCTCCTTCAACACACGACCCTTTTACGCATCTCCCCCTCATCCCCTCTTCCAAATTTGTAATTTTCAGTATGATTTTATTTTTATATGAAAGATGAGCATTCTATGTATTTTCTGTTCTCATATAAAGGATGGAAATAATTATATTGTTCTATGTACGTCATTGTATTTGTTATGATAGTTAGCAATGTGGCTGGCTGGCCACAAAGTTCGTAGATAGTTGTTGTGCAGACAGTAGTTCGCCACAAAGACCGTAGTTGAAAGCTACAATGTCATAAGTTGGCCATATAGACCGTAATTGGAGCTGTCACAACCAACATAGGTTGTTGTTGTTGATTGGAACACTATCAGTTGCCCACAAAAGTTGTAGCTAGTTACTGCAATATCATTATTTGGCCACATATGTCGTAGTTTGCAGCTGCAATAGGTTTAGTTGGCCACATAGGCCATAATTGGTGGCTGCAATGGTGTTTGTTGGCCACATAGGCCATAGTTGGTGGTTATAATAGCATCAGAAGGTCACATATGCCATAATTGATGGTTGCAATATCGTCAGTTAGCTTTAAATGTCGTAATTGGTGACTAAAAAAGTGTTAGTTGGCCACAGAGGTCATAATCAGTTACTGCAATAGCGTTAATTGGCCACAGAGACAATAGTTGGAAGTTGTAATAGCCTCAGTTGGCCACAGAGGCTATAATTGGTGGCTGCAACGACATCAATTAGCCACAAAGGTCATGGTCAACAGTTGCAATTGTGTTAATTGGCCACAAAAGCTATAACTGAATATTGCAATCTTGTCAGCTGGGCACAAAGACCATAGTTGGAACCTACAATAGCAATTATTCACATAGGTCGTAGTTTTGGTTACTACAACAACACTGGTTAGCCACATAGGTCATAGCTGGAGACTGCAATATTGTATGGTATATCATTAGTTAGTTTTACAGGTCAGTTGGTGACTACAATATTATTTGTTGGTCACATATGTCATAGTTAGATACTACAATTGCGTCAGTTGGCCATAGATATTGTAGTTGGATGTTGCAGTTGCAGTTAGCCACATTTGTTATAATTGCTATCATAGGTTGTTAATGCATTGATTGGTTTCTATAATCATTCTCTCATGTTTATTATTTTACATCAGAGACAATACTTGTTGGTATAAGACATATAGAAAATTTCAGGAGTATGAAAATGTTGTTATATTTTAAATATCTCAGGCGTAAACAATTTTTATCGAACTTTATCACCAGATCTTCAATATGGTGTTATTTGTTTCACGACAATTGAGATACTTTGTTATATCATATTCGAGATACATTGTTATAAAATATTCTAGATACTTTGTTGCACCGTATTTATAATATTTTGTTACACCATATTTGTGATACTTCATAAGCAATCAAAGTTTGCTAATAACGTCGATCAGAGGGCGACCGACGATAGTCAAAGGCAACCTACGGCTGACGGTCGACAGTGATTGGCACCTACTGAGTTCAGAAATTATTGTTGAATCTTGCGTCCAAAAAAATGCTAAAATTTACCTCATTCTCCTCCCTTCTCTTAAGTGAAGTGAGTGGGACTATTTATAGCCTTTAGAGGAGGT